AGCAGGGTCAGTGGCAGAACTGGCTGTCCCCCGCAGGCTCTGGCGCTGGCTGCAGTCCCATGGAGCTGGCCCCTGACAGGCTGTGAGGGCAGGGCCTGGCTTTGCCCCCCTGGGTGCCAGGCAGCTGAGCCGGCCAGGCGGGGGCGTGTGCTGTGTCCCCTGGGGGGTGCCTGCCCGGTGATGTCTGTTGGGGAGCCCCTAGGTGGCAATGGCCTGGATACAGCAGACAGGACCGTCTCGTCCCCGGAGTTAGCTCCCTGGCTGATCTCTCCCTGGGCCCAGCTCCCCCGAGGCAGCCTGCCCGGAGCCAGCATGCGCTGTGTGCGTTGAGAGTGGGCGCTCTGTTGGGGGACGGGAAAGGCTCCCTGCTGCCCGGCACAAGTCGCATCCAGTCGGGAGCTGTGTCCTTGTGCCAGGAGCCGGGGGTCCTGCCCGTGCCGGGGAGGGCGCGGCGCTCACGGGGGTGTCTTTGGCAGGCAAAGAGAGCTGCTTTGAGAGGATCGTGTCGCGGTTTGGGAAGAAAGTGACCTACGTGGTGGTTGGCGATGGGCGCGATGAAGAGATTGCAGCGAAGCAGGTGAGTGGCAGGGCTGCCGCTCGGGTTGTGGGGCTGCTGCCAACTGGGAGGCTGGGCTGCCATGGCTCCTCTTTTCCACAGGCTCTGCTGCGGGGTCTTGGCTCTTCTCCCTGGGTGTGGAGACAGTCCCACCCAGCACACCCTGGGATGTGCACCCCAGGCCTGCCCTTCCCTCTGCCTCGCTGACTCCGGTGTTCTCCACCGTGCCCGTTGGGGAGGGTCCGCTCTAGTGGATTCCTTTGAGGTGCCGAGCAGGGCGTGTGCCATGTCTCCTCACGCAAGGGCAGCCAAATCCTCGCGCCTTCCAGGGCAGCGTCTGACCCACTAGTCTGTCGCTCCTGCTAATCTGATCAAAAATCTCCTTCAGGCCTTGACTCTTCAGCCCCCTCCATACTGTATTTGGCAGCTCCCTGTGCGGCAAGCCCCTGAGGAGCGCCCAGTGGCCGACCTACCCATGCCCCTTTCCCCCCTTGCCTCCCACCAAGCGCTGAGTCCTTAGACCACAGGCCAGCTGGTTGCTCTCCGTTGGGAGTCTGCCATCGCAAACTTGCCCTCCTGCAGGAGCCCACAGGTCAAGGGACAGGAGGCTGAAGCTCTGTCTTCTGGAGCAAGCTCTGAGGGTGGCATTGGATGCAGAAGAGCCAAGATCAGACCCCTTAGGGATCACGCCTGCATCTCGCAGCCCAGCAGACAGGCCAGGCCAGAACCTTGCCCACAAGCCAAGCTGGCCGTGGTGCAAGCTGTCAGCAGCCGGAGCTGGGAAGAGGGTTCCGAGCGGCATCTCCTGGCTTTGGGCAGGCGCGTGGTGTCGTCTCACGCTACGGGTACGGGATGGCACCGGGAGACAAGCTGAGCAGACTCCACGGGTAGCGGCCCCCAAGTGCCTCTGTTGACACAGACCCCGCCACTCTCGGCACAGACTGACACACTAGCTCTGACGCTCTCCTTGGCGTCCTCACCGCCCCCGGGCCGTGCCTCTGGGGGGCGCCGTGCCCCGGGCGCCCCGCCCCCCCGCCCCCCTGCCACAGAGACACAGTGGTGGGGAGCTCGCCCTCAGCTCAGAATTCCACGGAGCCAGGCGCTCGCATCCCAGGCCCGTCCTGAGGCTGGACTGCTGGCTGGGAAAAGAAGCATCAGAGCCGGGATGTCCAGGGAGCCCTGCTCTGTGCTGTCAGCCGGGCCAAGGCTGCAGAGCTACTCCCAGCCTCCTCGTGGCCAGAGCCCAGCAAGTCTCGGAGTTGCGCTCACGTCCACATGCCATCAGAGGGCTGCTGAGCCTGCCCCCCGCGCAGCACCGGCTCTGGCCTGCTGCAGAACTGCACGATCTCTGTGGGCAGCCCCAGGGAGTGCTGGGCTTCACTCGGACCCCGTGTGACGCTGCAGCGGGGTCTGCTCCTCACTGACACGGCGCCTCCTGCTGCTCACCTCAGGGATTGGCTCTTCCAGCCCTGGAGCGCCCTCTTCACCCCTACGTTACGTCTTCGGCTGCGCCCCTGCATCCTGGGACCCTCCCCTCCCAGGGAACCCCAGCCCCCTGAGACCCACCTGGCCCCAGTGACCCAGTTGTCATCCAACCTCTGCCTCGGGGCAGACACTCCTCATTGCCTGCCTCTCTGCAGCCCTAGTGCCCCAGGCCTGGAGAGCAAGGCTTCAGCGTGCGAGTTTGCCTGGCCGGAGCTCCCCAGCAGCCAGGTCCCTCCGGCGCCACAGCTGGGGCACGACGGGTCTCCTGGCCAGCCACCCTTTTCATACGACGATTGCTCGTGTGCCCAGAGCTCTCTGCTCCCTGCTGGCTCCACACACACCCCCAGCTAGGAGCGTGCTGCTCCCTCCCCTTGCAGTCTGGAGCAAGCTGCTCCCTGCCATCTCCCCCCACCCCCCAGCCTGGGGTGTGCTGCTCCCTGCCATCTCCCCACTGCTCCCTGCCTCCCCCCGCAGCCCTCCAGCCTTGCTGCACTTTCACAACAATTTACAGGGCCTGGGGCTCTGCTGCAGCTGCGTGTCCAGTGCACAGCCTGGCCAGACCCCAGGCTCACACCCGAGGTGCGTGCCGGAGCCCCGCGTTCCCCTCCCCCGTGGGGCACCTCTGACATGGGAGCCCAACACTTCAGGGCTTGACTTTCGCAGCCTCAGTGGCGCCCTTTTGGGGATGTGTCACTGGCACGCCCGGCCTGCCCGTGCAGAGCCAGCTGTGGAGGGGGGCTTGGGGGCTGGCCGGGGGG